CCTTGTCCTCCACGACTATATATATNTATTGTAATATTTTTTAATACCAGCCGGTCACCAAATTGGAACCGGCCATTGGTTAGTTCTGATCTAACCGGGCGGTTACTGGTTAGATAGTCTGGTTATTCCAACAGTAATTTTAATAGTGTAAATTTGATAATGCTTTAAAAGATGAATGGATTTTTTTTTTAACTTTTGAAAGTAGATTCAAATCTACGTCATCCAACTAAAATAGGTGGAGCAACACATTGCAACCTTGTTTTCACAAGCAATTTTTCGACGTTGTATAAACTGTTATCATGTAACAAATGGGATTTGTATACAATGAGATCATTTACCTTTGATACAAGGAAGTCACGGTTACTTACAACCCTCTGATATGAAATTTGATAGCTTGGGTGTACCACAAAATTCAAGAAATTTTCCTTTGAAGTTTGAGTCTGGTCAATGGAATAAATGAAACCATCTAATTTTACATTCAATGGTCAAGATCAATTGTAGCCACCTTGTACCAAAGATTAATGGTCTCATTATATATTTTTCTATAACAAATATAGGGGTTTAAAATGGAAAATAAAAGGTTAACAAATTGTTAATATAACACCTAATGGATGATGTTTCCTTTAAAAAATATGAGATATAACCGATATGGTAGTGGTGCCATTCTTTTAATATTTTCAGCAAATAATGAGTTCAAGACGTTTATAACATGTGTGGATTGGAACTTTCTTTTAATATTTTCAGCAAATAATGAGTTCAAGACCATGTCATATTTTTAATGGAACAAGGGACACGTTGACCCAGACTATAGTGTACTTTGTACAAGGCCCATACCCTAAACAATGAAAATAAGACACGCCTTCAAATAGTGTTGAGAGATGTTTTAATATCGAAAATTTGTGTGATAGCTTGAAAATTTATTTTCATGCCTAATTATAAAATTTAGAGCTTAAAAAATAGTGTGGATCAAGCAGACATATGAACACTTGAAAATCATGAAAATTGACGGTCTAGATAATGCATTACAAGATGCACTATTCCTAAGACTCGATTTTTTTTAGA